AGAATAAGGTGAACCCAGAATCCATGAAAATATTAGATTTACAGTTCATGTGACATTTCATGGCTCCTCAGAGTACTCAGTATTACTGTATCATCTATTTACATTTATATAACATTTTAGGTCCATGTGTGAACTAGCTGAATTCTGTTCTCAATTCATCTGTATTCCTGTCAGCCTCATCCTGAAAGGAAGAGTGTCTTCTCCTCTCTTAAGATAATCTCCTCCCTCCTCTTCTATTGTTTTCAAATTAATTTTTGCTGAAGCACAGTTGTGTCAGTTCCTGCTGGGTAGCAGAATGAATGAGTCCTACCTGTACTCATGGCCCCTCCCTTTTGGGCTTCCTTCCTGTTCAGGCCCCCACGGAGCATGAAGCAGGGTTCCCTGTGCTATACAGGATGTTCTCGTTGGGCATCCGCTTCTATGGGTCAGTGGTGTATATGTGTCAATGCCAGTCTTCCAATTCCTCTCCCCCTCTCCTCTCTTATTCTTGATCCTTTCCTCTCCTGTCTCCTGCTGAATCTTTCTCCAAAAGTAGCCTTTATTTTCCCTGTACCTTAAACTTCTGTTGTATTTACTCTTTGCTTTCAACATGCTGGTTTGTTGAAGTTCCAGTCACACAGTCTTCTCTCTCAACCTTCCCTATTGCCATGGTCCTCTCCTTTTTCTTCCTTCTGTTATGGAATTTGAGAAGGCACATGCTGCATTCATTGTTCCCTCATCCTAACCTCACCTCATCCTCTACAGTCTACTTTCTGTACCCGCTGATCGCTCCTTTGAAGGTTACTTTTGATTTAGCATGCTTTTGAAATCAAATGGCTTAACTACATGTTGATTACTATTTAGAACTGAAAAGACATGTATTTTTTAATGAAATCCAGGCAATACCTTCACTAATTCAATCAACAAACATATCTGAAACTAGGTCTTGACTAGGTCCTGCTGCTGCAGAAATGAAAGACATTACTCCCAGCCTCAAGGAGCTTACAGCTCAGTGGTGGCAATGGATTAGAAAACAACCATAACATGTGAATGTGTTGTCACTCCTGTTAGTCACTCAGTTGTGTCCGACTCTTTGCGACGCTATGGACTGTAGCCAACAGGCTTCTTTGTCCATAGGATTCTCCAGGCAAGAATACTGGAGTGGGTTGCCATGCCCTCCTCCAGGAGATCTTACCAACTAAGGGATCAAATCCACTTCTCTTAGGTCTCCTGCACTGGCAGGCAGGTTCTTTACCACCAGTGCCACCTGGGAAGCCCAAGATATGAAAAAAGACTGTTAAACATCCGTTTTGTTGATAGAGGTAAACATTCTCTGATTGAAAATGTTTATTCAATTACCATCATGACTACTTTGCTGATTGGAAGAATGTGGTTTAAGTGAATTTAGAAAGATTTGTTTTTCACTTTTTTAATTTTAGAGAATTAGTTACAAAAACCTTTTATTCATTTTTAAAATGTAACCTTGATGCAGTCTTCTTTGTAAAGTGATATATCCCTGCTGTGATAATCAAGAAAGTTTAAATAAAGCACCTAATTTTAAAGCATTTCATATTTAACATGCTGAATAGCTGAGGGAGGGAGTTTCTCTAAGTTAAGAGAAGGAGAACTCAAAACTCCTGTGAGACAATTACATGAAATCCCACCTAAAAACAGATTATTAATAGTTTGAAGCTTCCCTAGGAAGTTTCTTGCTAGGAAGGTGGGCTTCTTTTGTGGCTCAGCTGGTAAAGAATCCGCCTACAATGCAGAGACCTGGGTTCCATCCCTGGGTTGGGAAGATTCCCCTGGAGAAGGGAAAGTTTACCCACTCCAGTATTCTGGCCTGGAGAATTCCATGGACTGTACAGTCGATGGGGTCGCACAAAGTCAGACATGACCAGAGCGACTTTCACTTTCTTTCCCTAGGAAGGTAGAGACTCCTTACTTTTGTGTCCTCCATAACAGTTCTTTGCATAACTGAACTATGAGACAAGGCCATGGCACTCTAGGGACAAACTGCTACCACTTTTAGCCGTAGTTGAAGAAATTGAAGAAGTTTCTTGTCATCTGACTTGATTTTCATGACCCTTACTGATTGATCCAGTTTTTCTCTGTGCCCAAAGCAACTTTCCACATAGGTGAGAAGCAGAGCCCATTAGCCAATGAGGTGGTCTGGTTCGAGGACTCAGTCTAATAAGACTCAGCTCCATGTTGGATGGTGCCGAGTGTGTGTGTGTGTGTGCGCTGAGACAACAGAGGGAGAAACCGAGAGGGAAGCTGAATCCGGAGCATGGTTTAGAAGCTAGGACTCTGTGTGTGTGTGTGTGTGTGTGTGTGTGTTTTCCAGCTCTCTGTGAAGCCCAATAGTGTTTAGGGCTTCTTTTCTCCACATATATAACAAATGCTCATCTAGTGACCTGGAGGTAGCCCACTCCATACAGAGCCTGGGAGAATCTAACAGGATATTTAGGTGTTAATAATTCCTTTTTTGGAAGGAAATGTCTCCATTTCCATATCACACATTGTAACAGCATGCTAAATTCACCATGTTGTTTTATGTTTTTTAGTCAGTAATGCTTGCATTTTTGCCAAAATAATACACCATTACATGGTATTTCTTGAAATGCTATGCTATTTAATGTAAATAAGCACTCTAAAAAAGTATTACAAAGAAAACCAACCAGGTAAGCTTTGGAAGAAATGTTATTATCCTTATTATTTTAGACAAGTTCCTTCTTAAATCCAAACACCTGCTGTTGCACTTTAACATAGTTTGTATATACAAATAAAATTAGAACTGACAAATATGTGATTTTCATCAGATAGGCTTTGTTTGATTGGAGACTAAATATTTTTGTAAAACTTGTCCTTGTTTGAAGTTGAAATTTCATGTCACCACAAGAATTGACCAGCAGAAGCTCGTGTACAGTGACCCGCAGGGTTTTAGCTATTATGTTTGGACTTGCTCCCCAGCCCACACAGGCAATTAAGTAAGAATAAGAAAAAAGAAAACACTCATCTGAATCATCTATTAAAATCTATGTTCCACTCAGTAACATAGGTTTTATTTCTTGATTCATACTTAGCAGATGCCTTGGTCATATTCATATATGAGCTCTCTTCTCTGTGGTAACCAGTCCCACTTCCATCTTTCTCTATTATGTGCTTCCATTTCCACCCCTTTAATGGAAAATGCCTCTTTTAAGTATCTAAGGGACATTTGATAGATGATTGCCTTCAGCACCTCATATTTCCCCCTTTCCTCAGGAGCTTGAGAACTCATGTCTCTCTTTTTTTTAATTGGCTCTGTGTACACATGAAAGCAGGAATTGAGATTAAAATGAGGGAGAAGCTCAGTTATTCAGTGATGTTTTATCTCATAGGCAGAGCTGGTATCCTTCCTCAGTGCCTGAGGCTGACTTGGGCTCTTAACAGAATTCAGATCTATTTTTGTTTATTAAGTTATCAAGCCAACTGAGTGGCCATGCCATTCAAGAGTTCCCAGGAGGCATTGAATTCACAGGGCATCTGACAATGTGGGTGTTTTCCTAGTTTGCATTGCTCTGTGGATTTAAAAGCATTTAGCAAATATTTTTATTTGATTAACCCAGAACTTTCATACAAATAAATACTATAATGAGTAAAAAATTTTAAGTATACATGCTGAAAATATAATGACCTCTTCATAAAAGCACAAGAATTTCATGAAGACATGGAAAAATACAGGAAGAAAGTAGTCTACTTATTTAAGGACTGCTGTCAATTCACCGCAAGCATTTATTGCTAAATTAAGATTGTGGAAGTTCTATACAGAGCCTAATCTATGATTCTATAAATTTTGGTAGTTTTTCTTCATTTGTCTAATTTTTTTGACTCTTTTTGTTGGCAGAGCTTCACTTACTAAAAATAATGATTCACATATAAATAAGACACTTTATTCCAGTGAAGTTATTTCTGTTTCAATAAAATTCAGTAATAGCTACTTCCTCTCAAACCAGAGTAATGCCAGCAGTACATTACAGAGATATATGCTCTTTGGATTCTAATCAGTTGTTATCACAGAGGAGGTAAAAAGTTTCTTTGGTGCAATCATGATTTTTATTCTGATTCACTGTCAGCCCTCTCAAACACTGTGTGGTTCTGTTTTAAATTAGAGGTAAAATTCTGGGCTATTTATACTAATCAAAGTGTATAACTGCTTTGTTTTTTCCCCTTGAAAGCAACTTTATATTCATTTCCAGTTTATTTGCAAGCATAGTATTTATACATTTGTAGAACCTAGCTTTAGTAATTTTTTTATTCTCTAATCAGAGAGACATTTTCTTTTTTTTTTTTCCTTTCCAGTAAGATGGGCAATGATTTATTTGAAATGGCCAAAAGTAACATTTTACAGAAAAGGAACTGTAATATTACACAATCAAGTGTAGCTACAAAATCTTAAGACATTCAGGCAATGCTTTATTTAGATCACCAAAAACAAGGTTTTATAGAAAAAGAACTGTAACAAGCAAATGTATAGCTGCAAATTTTCTTTTGCCAGCAATATCAATTCCCTCTAAAATATCTGGGGACTACTTTGCAGTTTCCAAGCAAAACTAAAAGTCTGTGGGACAGAGGTGCTCAGCCTCATCACAAGAATGAAAAGTTTGCCAAACGATTTTGTTTAATGCTAACAAATAACTAAAAGACATGGTCACTGCTAACAAGTACCTTTGTCTATTGAAACAGCGCAACCTAAGCACATGTTTATGAACGATTCATTTTGAACATAGCTGCTGTTTTCCTGCCATCATAGATCACATGTATGGTGGCAAGGGTTAGATGCTGGAGGCCATCAGGGCACCAAAGAGGTAATCCTTAACAGAAATAACTCCAGTAGCTAAGCAATTCAAACAAATGGACCGCCTCTGCCAGAGCCCCCAGGGTGTCACATTTGCTTTCTGTGTAAAGAAGGTCCACTGACTCCCTAGTTCTTTACTGGGAACCAAGAGATAGATAAAGAAGCTGTTCTTCTAGGACCATCAAATCGCCCTGGGGTTCTTCCTGCTGTTCTGCACTTCACAGGCAGCAACATAGGCATACTCTGGGAAGAAGTCATCATGGTACTCGGCTAAAAACCTCAGAAAGAGATCAAAGTGCTTCAGTAAAGCCTTCAGGTTCTTCTCAGAAAAGGACATCTTTCCAAGGATTTCAGGAAGTTTCACAAACAAACGCAGCAAATGTTGCGCCCCATAAATGTAAGAGGGTGGAGGAGGTTGGTCACCTGGAGGATAACTCCCCGGTACAAGTTTCCAGGAGAGGACCTCATTTATTTCTTTGGTTCTTCTGCCTTCGAATCCAGCAAACACCGCACTCCCTTCCTTGCTAGGGGTCAGAGGAACAGGTGAGGATGATCTGCTATGAACAGATGTCTTCTTTTCTAGGTCCAAGAACAGCTTGGGCATGCTGGCGGACATGTCCTGCTGCCGGCGCTGGGGCTGAGGCGAGGCGCTGCTCTCGGACAGCCTGTCGCAATTGGCAGAACGGCGCGTGGACCGCCTCAGAGACTGTAAGGCTTCCGGCTCGGCTTTGGGCCTTTTGGGGGTGGTTGGTTCATCTGAGGTTGGCTGACTCTCTGTGGACTGTGGTGTGGATGGATTCAATAAAGGTGGGCTTGGAGAGAGCTCCTCCTGGTTCCTGTTAGTGTTTGTGGGACTTTCCGTAATCGGAAGAAAAAATTTGGACGAAGTCACCTTTTTATACTGAACTTGTTCATATGGATAGAGCAAAACCAGTGGGAGAGTGTAATCAAAGGTTAGTCTTAATCCATCCACCATCTCCTTACAAAGGTCAACGTTCTTTTCTAATGGGATATCATACACATTCATGTTGGCGTGTGGCATAGCATGATGGTAATGAGGCCTCTCATTGGCTGAAAAGGCTGCATTGTTAGCAAAGTGCTTCACGTACAATTCCAAAATAGTTATGATGTTGGTCTCACATGGAACTTTGACTAAACGTTTCCTCCTGTTGATACAGTAACAATCATCCTCAAGCTTCTTCTTCAGAACTTCAGGGATTTCTATAGTTACTGTTCTTTCTTCCATTTCCTTTTTTTGCGTGCAGCCCTGGTCCTTCCTTCACTTCAGACTTTTCTTCAATATCTTTTCCTTCACTTATTTATCCGTCCTTTTCTTCACTGTCAGAGGAACTGCTTATTGAGTTTTCATCTTTCTCGTCAGCAGGGAGGCTTTTTAAGACAGAGTCCACTCCAGGCAACCGGGCGCGCTTCCTCTTTCTTCCTGTGCTTCTCAGGCGAGCTACAGCCTTTTTGGCCAATTTCTGCTGTGATCTCCGATTTTCATCGGCGTTACGAAGGACATGATCCTCAGCTGCTCATCTATCCCAACTTCTGTTCCAGCCATTAAAGTGGATCAGATATTCTGGGATCTTTCTGCCCTTTTCGTCTTTCCCAACAAAAACATCGACAGTCTTGGCCTCGCAGAGCACTCGCGCCTCGATGGGGTCAGGCTAGAAGCATAGCGCTTTCTCCCGAGTGGAAGAGAGGAAGCCGTGGCTCGCGCTCACTCGCTCTTCGCGGCGGAGGGCGCGGCCCCGCGGTGGGCGGGGCGGGCGCGGTGGGCGGGGCATGCGCGGTGGGGGAGGGGGTCCAGGGAGACGGTTTTCTAATGTTTATCTACAGAAAAGAGAAGTTACCAAATGTCAGTTTGACAGGCTTATAATTCTGTGCTGGTAAACAAATTGGAAATGAATGTAAAATTGTTTTCCAGGAAAAAAAAAAAGTCTTGTTAACAACAACAAAAAAATTCTTCTGTAACTCGTGACATCTAACCAGATGGGCATGTTTCATTCGTTCAGAAACTGGTCTTGAGATAAGAATTTGGTTTTCATAAAGGCTCTAGTAAAATGTTTTAGTAATAATCATACAGCATCCATTTATATGAAGTTAACACTATAGGCAATTGATTTGGCATATTAAATATGAAAGTATTTTAATAAAACAAGAAACACATGAATGATATTGTTAAAATCACTTAAATATTTACAAAAATACAGTTTTCACAATAATGAATAATTATTTTTAAAAAGATGTTTCAATTTTTACCTTCCTAAGCTAAACTTGGGGTAAAATATTTCTTTTTTTTTTTTCTAAGAGATGCCATGATATAATGAAATGCCAGGTTTGGTGGGGAAAAGGGGATATAACACGGAATGTCAATTTCAGCTCCCACAACTCATTAGCCCTGTGACTCTGGGCAAGTCACTTACCCTACATGCAGCCTTGTAAGGTTACTTGTTTATAAAACTGGAGTGATAACAGCTACCTTATTAACTAAATACATAGATGTGGAATTGCTAGGTCTTATAATAAGCATATGTTTAAGATGATAAGAAATTGCCAAATTGTTTTCCAAAATGGTTTTTACTGTACCTAATTTTTAAAGGAAGAAAAGACTGCCTCTTTGAATTCTATATATCCATGAGCTTAGAGAATCAAAGAACTTTCCCATCAGCGCAGGAACTGTCTGGGTACTGCACGGAGAGTATGAATGGAGCAGGGACACAGGAAACCTGGCTTGGAAAATTGCCCATTCCATCTCACTGCTGAGTCTGATTTCCTGTGCCCCTCACAAACACAGGCTTCTTCAGGCTTGAGGCCCTTTTCTGCTCTAGTTATAGAACCATAGACAGAAGCAGGTAGAGCTTAAGCTATTTCAAGGAAATTTTGATATTACTTTGTACTTACGGGTCTCTGGTTGGCCATACAGGTCACCCAGCTGCCAACTCAACGTGGAGTTTATGAGTTCAGCATTGATCAGTGCATACCGCTACTCTCTGAGGTTCATTTTGTGCTGTTAGTGGCCCCTGGGTCATAAAGTTGAGCCTTCAGCATTGATTCCATTCCAAGTTCCTTGCTCTGCCTTCCCATTAATATCCCCTTGGGAGATCTGAGGCTCCTCTTATCATTATTATTAGTCTAGTCTGCCTAAAAACTGTACCTGAGCACTAATGTTCACTCTTCCTGTTTCACCCTAATGGGCAGATCTTGGACTGACCCAAATCCTCAATTTCTCTGCCAAGACTTTCTACAGTCAAACTGTTATGTTCTCTAGAAATTCATCAGTGAGGAACTACCCAAGGGCAGTAGCTAGAGGTTGTAAGGTGTTAAATATTTTTCTTTCTTTTTAAGTGTAATTCAAATAAAAAGCACGGGCAATTTTCCTTTTATTATTTGTACTGCATAAAACTTTGGGCAGAAATTTTTTAACAATCATGGATATGAAATAAAGGTGTATCTGTGTTGGTTCAAAACCTTAGGAGCTCTCTAGGTGAAATCTGAAACTGGCCCATGGACATGGAGGGTGAGAGACCAAAGAGAGGCAGACCACTCCAGTTTGGTAGGTGGCCAGTTTAATTAGCAAAGGACCTTCCAAATGAAGCTTGACTTGGGTGGCCATAGGAAGTAATCTCTGCACTTGCCTGCTAGTATCTTAAAAGTTGATATAGAGGGACTTCCCTGGTTGTCCAGTGGTTAAGACTCCATGCTTCCCAACCTAGATGCCCATCAGCAGACGAATGGATAAGGAAGCTACGGTACATATACACCATGGAATATTACTCAGCCATCAAAAAGAATTCATTTGAATCAGTTCTAATGAGATGGATGAAACTGGAGCCCATTATACAGAGTGAAGTAAGCCGGAAAGATAAAGGCCAATACAGTATACTAACACATATAAATGGAATTTTAAAAGATGGTAATGATAACCCTATATGCAAATCAGAAAAAGAGACACAGATGTACAGAACAGACTTTTGGACTCTGTGGGAGAAGGCGAGGGTGGGATGTTCTGAGAGAATAGCATTGAAACAAGTATACTATCAAGGGTGAAACAGATCACCAGCCCAGGTTGGATGCATGAGACAAGTGCTCAGGGCTGGTGCACTGGGAAGACCCAGAGGGATGGGATGGAGAGGGAGGCGGGAGAGGGAATCGGGATGGGGAACACATGTAAATCCATGGCTGATTCATGTCAATGTATGGCAAAAACCACTACAATATTGTAAAGTAATTAGCCTCCAACTAATAAAAATAAATGGGGGAAAAAAAAAGACTCCATGCTTCCAGTGCAGGGAGCATGGGTTCCATCCCTGGTCAAAGAACTAAGATCCCACGTGCTGTAGGGTGTGACCAAAAATTTTTAAAAATTAAAAAAAAAATATAGAGGCCTTTGTTGGGTTCAATGTTCAGATGGTCTTAGCAGTCCATTGATCTCCCAAAGTTGTGTCCTTGAAAATGGCTCTAGCTATGGAAACGCTGGGCAGAATGTACATTCCAAGACCTGGGAGGGGGTGAGGGCTTCTGATTGTCCAGATACAGTTAATGTGTCAAGTGGTAGTCATGTCCTCTTGATGACTTGTTCCGACAGTCAGGTACCTCTGCTCAACTGCTTGCATGTAGCTACAAAGCAGATATTTACAAGGGGAGTGGTGTATATTTCAAGGAGAAATAATAACATTGTCATGGACCCCAAAGCACTTTAGAAGATGAAAGGAATTCCTGAAATTTCCTGGTAGAATTGTATAAATGTTGAAATAAGATTCTTGTGAAACTCATACAACATTCAATGACAACTCTAAGGATGCTCTAAAGCTGGATTTTTTCTAGCCATATTGTGCAGCATAGAAAAATGTGGTTATTTTTAACCTTTTTATCTAAATTTCTTCTGACCTATAAATGACCCCAGGAAAACAATCTAGAAATGTAGCATTCGATTGAAGTAATAAATGAGGAACATCAGTTGCTAAGAGCTGGACATAAAGTTTGGAGGTGAGGGATGGTGGTAACAACCCATAAGGAAAAGGGTTTACTATCAATTTCCTGCTGAGACTTGGGGAATTACCCCTGACAGTACTCCCAGAACATAAGTAAAAACCTTTGCTTTAAAATATTAGATAAATTGTATTTGTACTTGTCATTCTCCAAGTTACAATACCTGATAGTGACAATAATACTTTTGTTTAGTGCCTTTCTTTAAAAAACACAGAGAAATGATCTGTTCCATGAAGCTGCGTCCTTTAATGGTACACATTATTTTTTGAATGGCCTGTTAAGTAAAGGACATGAGCAGGTCATTTAAAAAGCAAGCAGTAAAAGTGGTTAATAAACATGTTAAAAATGTTTCCTCATTAATATTCAAAGAAATGCAAGTTAAAATAATGGAATACAATTTTGCCTTTCAAATGAGTACTTTTAAAATTATTGCTTAAATTTTATCGATAGGGTTGCAAATCACATTTCTGGAGAGCAGTCAATGTATATAATAGAAACTATAAAACTATTTAAAAATATTCTTATGTTCTACCGCACCATTTCCACTTGGAGGCTTTGCTGCATTGCAATCACTGGAAGAAACCCTGATGAAGTCTACAGGTATCACAGAGTATAAAGACTGGGAAACACTGCAATTCTCTCCTGGGCTGTAGTCTTTTTGGCAGTGGTTCATTTTCTGTCAACCACATATCAATCTCCTAGATCAGATTTATTTGTAGGATTCTGGATTTGAAAGGGAATCTGGCCTTCTGCCTTGATGTGACTTCTCCCAACTTCATAGTAAAAGATTGATGAAGACCTAGACCCAGAAGATTAAGAAACAAATGTGACAGATAACTTGAAAGTGAAAGTCGCTCAGTTTTGTCCAACTCTGTGTGACCCCATGGATGTATAGTCCATGGAAATCTCCAGGCCAGAATACTGAAGTGGGTATCCTTTCCCTTCTCCAGGGGATCTTCCCAACCCAGGGATCAAACCCAGGTCTCCTGGCAGGCTACAGTCCATGGGATCACAGAGTCATATATGACTGAGTGACTCACAATTTCACTTTTCACTTTCATATCCAGATGATACAGATGGTTGTAGATGCAGTATTTACATAGATACAGACAGATATATAATTACATCTACATTTCATATACATCTGGACTGTATCTAAATAAATATATTATTGAGTTGTGAAGCTTAAATAAATTGATACTTGTGAAATGCTTTGCACTTGGCACACTGCCATCAGTCAATTCTATTTAG